AACACCTGCTCCACCGGTTAATGGGAAAAAGATGACTGACACTGTTACAAGGAATTTCTAGCATTAAAGAACAAGCTATAATTGCCTCTGGCTTACAGTTAAGAAATTCAGCATCAGTGAACCATTCTTTCATACAATTACTGTAGAAAAATTTAAGTATAGGACTAGATAAGAAAATAATGGAAATAAACTACATCAATGGCTGGAATTCCACATCAAAAGCAATATTTAGGTTTTCTCTTATAGTGGGCAACATACATTGTTCATGACAAAAATATCCTTTTGCTTCCTTTGGCAAACAAGTTCATAGATGATGGAGGTAAATGCACACCACAGTTTCTCCTCGAGGATTGCAACAATTTTAGTTAACTAAGACACTTTTGAAAAGCATTTATTATGCCTTGTGACTTCATTTTATACAGTTTTGAAATTTTTCTCATATTCTCTGTGGGACATAATGATAGGTGGCTCTTCCAGTGGCTTGCTGCACATATCCCCATGTATTTAGCATTTGAAAAATGCCAGCTCAGTCTTGAGGGTTTTTTTTTTCCTGACCATCTTCTTTCACTTTATGCTGGGAAAATTGTAGCTCTACAAATATAGAAGAGGTTTTGAGTTTATAATTAAATATGAACTTTAAGATCAAGGAAGTTTGATGATCTGGTGTTTATCTCTGAATTTGTAACAGATTTCCCATGACCTTAACTTCATGACTTAGATACTTCATGATCTCTTTTATCTTTTCAAAAAAGAGTTTGTATGTCTGGAGGATGCAGAAAAGAAACCAAGAAAAGCTTCAGATTCTACTCTGCCTTGGATCCAGGGAAACATCAGACCTATTTCAATTAACAAAATTAATTTTTAGTCATCATTACCTTTGGTAAGTTAAGGTTCTGTAATATTAATGTTAATTACTGTATCTTTGATTTTTGTAAAGTTTCCTAGTTGTTCCTAGGATGTATGCTGCATCAGTCCCCTGGTATTAACTTTTGAATTCATTCACCAAACCAAGTTGGAAAGAAAAGCTGAAGTGTGAGAGGTATGAATGCCATGCATTTTGTGACATGCGGCAGCAGGCAGAGCAGAGTGCCTGAACTAAGTGTCCTCATCAAGGGAAAAATTAAGTTATCCGACCTACTTGTCTTGTCAGTGAGCCAACACAAACTGGAAGAAGGGCAACACATGCCTTCTTCTTGCCCAAAAAGCTAAAGGATTTAGAAATGAGATTAAAGGGAACCCAGCAGAGTGAATTGCATGGAGAACTACGGGGAGCTAGTGCAAAGTCAAGTACCAGCAACACAGCACACACAGCTCAAACTCATTTTCCTGTGTATAATGGGAAGCTGAAGGAGCATAATATTGGTTTTGCTATCCCTACTTGTACAACGCTTGCACTGTAAACATTTGTTAGCCATTAGCTGGACCCAGCGGAACATGCTGTAACAACAAAAGCGAGGTTTGTTACAGCCACGGGAATTCTTCCCAGAGAAAGCACAGACAGGTGGGTGGGACAGGATCTCGGGGAGCAGCTGAGCCACCACAACGGGGCAGCTTCACAAACATCCAGACAAAGCTGTAGGAGGTGACTGTCAAATCCCTCCTGAAACAGCTCTCGAGCAAAGAGGAGCCTGCTCCCTCTCAGATACAGTGCTCAGTGCTAGGGAGCAGCCTCAAATCCAAACTACAGCTTCTCCTAAAACCTCACATAGCATCAACACTTCACTCTTCTCAGCCATTTACATATTTCGAGTATTGTTTTTAAAAGCATTTGCCTGTCTCTTGTTGATCTGAACAAAATGTTTGTTCTGACCATCTTCTTTCACTTTATGCTGGGAAAATTGTTGCTCTACAAATATAGAAGAGGTTTTGAGTTCATAATTAAATATGAACTTTAAGATTAAGGAAGTTTGATGATCTGGTGTTTATTTGTGAATTTGCAACAGAACTCTAAAGTTCCTCTAAACTCACACCTTTCATATGTCGTAAGGACACTGTTATTGTCCTGTAATGAACACCTTCCCCCAACTATGTATTTTAAAATGCAGGGCCCAAAATGGACAGAGATACAAAGGGAAGCACTATTAAAAATTACAGCAAAGCAATTATATTTTGATCTCTTTCAGATGCTGTTAGCTCATTGAATTTGCAGTACACTATCAGCTCTACAATATTTGTCTCCTAATACTACTTTTTCCCTGCCATGTATTGGTAAATTGTAACAGTGCACATTTATCTCAAATTTTACTTCACTAATTTTCGTGCTTTCCCCCAGTTTATTAAGGTGATTTTGCAACAGTATCAAATAGAGTGTATTGCTTAGAGATGGACTACAAAGCCAGTTTTACCCCTACACCCTTGAACTCCAAATTATTCTTACCTGGAATTCAGAAAACAAATGGTCTTGCATATTTATAACAATGTCGGATTAAGTCAAAACCAGTTGATTTCTGGAAAGCTCCCAAGAGTTATATACACTTTTAATTAGAAAAAAAATCTAGTGGAAATAAAAATCATTAACACCTACATGCACAATACAGGTAAACAGCTTTTTTTTTTTTTTTTTCAATAAAACCCCAGGACAGAGCACTGGAATGACTGATCTGATGAAAGCACAATGTTAAACTACAAAAGCTGGGGTAACACTCCTGAAAAGATAAGCCATCTAGCATGGTAAGACATAGCTCTGAAATGTGAGGTGAAGGTAATTAATCTATACCCTGCACTATTTTCCTATAGGCCCTCTTTTTTCTTCTAGCTTTCTATGTCCTTTTATTTTCTTTCATTTTTTCCTGCACTTTAAGAAGTGTTGGAGTGATGCACAGAAATATTCCCCAAAATGTGTCAAGTTCATAGCTGAGTGTGCCTGTGAGGTTCATCACTGTATTTCTGTATTATTACTAAAAGAATCAAGAACGTTTCAGTTGAATCCTTCTTCTCCCTCCACTCCTAAATCTTTAAGCAATAAAAATTCATAGCAAATCAGGAAGGCAAAAAAAATACATGAAGAATCTCAAATTAGCCTTAATTAGGTGATCAAGGTCTTTCTTCAGAAGCTAGAAAAATCTGATTCTGATTTAATAACACAAGGTGATCATATTTTTACTTTGGTTTTCACATGCTCCACCTAAGCTTCTGCAACAACCACTGCCAGAGACATCACCCTGTTCCAGAACAGATTTTGTTCCGTCCTTAATAAAACCCCACCATCTTCTAAACCAGACGTGCTACTAAAGAATACCACGGACTCTGCTAAATTACATGAGCAATCTGCCCCAGCTGAAGTGCTATGAGGATGCTTTTCCACCAGTCTCTTGAGGAAAAGAGAGATGAAGGAATACCTGGTGTGTAGAAATGGAAATGCAAATGAAAATCAACCTGCTCAAAACCATCAATGCTCGGTTCCAATGAGGTTTCATTGGGTGTGCCAAGTACCAACAAATGATGCTATGTGCCTCCACAATTGGAAAATAACAGAGGAGCGTCCTCTAGGTCTGCATTTTGAAACTAAGCACTTATGTCCCACTTGCACGTAACCTCCTCCGTGGGCCCAGCCTTTAACTGGCAAAAACAATGGGAGCATAAATGTCTGGCATTACAGAAATCAATAGCAAGGGAAAGGCAAAAACAAACCACAAAATTCAATTATTTTCATGGTTTAAGAAGAAAAACTTTTTTTAATAATACAAACCTCAAATTTTACCTAATGGCGTACATTCATTTCCATGATTTATACAATTATTGCATAAGATTTGTGGTCATTTACATCTTCCAGTTCAAGTGACACAATTTTGTATTAAATTCTAGTTACACTTTCAGTCAATTACACAACTGTGAAACAAGAGCAAGACAGGCTATTCCCTTCAGAACTCCTTCTCCACATTTGTCCAGATGTAAAGATGGCATAATGTGATTTTATGGTAATCCCACACCTATTTGTGTTGCTTTGGTAGATTGTAGTGTGATGTTCTAATGTAATGGAAAAAAAAAATTAAAAAAAAAAAAATCAACCACAAAACCCCACAGAACCTTAAGAGGCCAGGAAAAATAATCAAACTTGTAGGCTGATAAGAACTGGACACTTTCTTTTTTGCAAGGCAAAGCTACTTCAAGTATTCAGAAAAGTGGAAAACAAAAATAATGTTTTTTTCAGTAAAAAGGTAAAGTAAGAGTGTTTAACTACTATCTAATAAGTCCCAATACTTTGGTGGAAGTGATTATACACCACGCTAGAAGGAACAGAAACTATCCTGCCGTGAAGACATACTGAACAGAACAAACTCAAAACTAGGAAAACCAAGTGCTGATGCCTTTATCAGCTTGGCATGTTGAGTGTTTTAAGTGCATGACTGACAATAAGCATGATGATGCCACTGAAACAGTGCAAATAAGTTACTGGGTGGTTTAATCTGCAACAGAGATAAGAGACTGCACACAGACAAGGGCATGGCTTCAGAAGCAGGATTAGAGCAGCAAAGATAAACTGCAGGAGTAGCTCAGAACTCAGCTCACATTTGTCCTACACATATGAAAGCTACAACATATTTTGCTCCACAGCACAAAGGAAATACAAGCAGAAAGGTAAGGAAAGACAAGGATCATTAAGTGATTTCTGAGCACTGAGACAACAAGGCAAAAACATGGTTTTGACCTCAAAAAAAAAAAAAACATCAGCACCATCATCCTGGGTATTTTGCTCTCTTTCATGCAAGACAAGGGAAATGGCAAATGAAATAAAAATATGAGCAAAGGTACAGAAGATGACTGTTTGGCACTTTCAAAAAATGCTTTTTAACTAGAAAAATAATCAAGGGACTTATAAATAGTAGCCAATTACCTCGCCCAATCCTTTGTCAATACCGAGATGACCACAATAATGTCTATTTTGGTGACAAGTGTCTCAATGAGAAGGCAGTGCCCCAACAGGCAGTTTCATTTTTACATCTAAAACCAGTATTTGTGGTAGATTCTATTCTTCATAGCAGTTTACTAGTTATGTGGCAAGAGATTCAAGCAGAAATCAGTTTTTAGAGGAACACTAAGGGATAGCAAAAAGCATGTGGACACAGCTTACTGTGAATCCTCCACTTTGGATTTGCTGAGAAACCAAAAGTTTTACCCTGGTGAAAGTTAGTGGTACAGTGGTTATTAAGCCATAAAATAATGTGATCCTGCAATACTGGTTGAGCACCTTCAATTCCCACGGGCTCATATTAAAATTTCAACTGTTAAGTACTTTCATTATCCCATTCAACCTTTTTTTTCCCCCTTCCCCCTTTGAGTGGGCGACTCCACTGATCATGGTACAACATTCCAGCCAAAGATGATTCCCATTAGCTTTTTCATGGAATACAACACAGTGTAGAACATGACTTGGAAGAAAGTAAAAGGAAGAGGTTCAGAAAAGAGCAACATGAGAATATTGTCTCTGAAAGAGAGCTTAGTTTTACCACATTGAAAACCATGAGTGCAATTGCTCCAGTCCAGGTTCCAACTGCTCTCAGTGACCTGAATGGCTCAATTAGCATGAACCCCCCCATGGAAAGCAAAGAGAAAAGGAGGATGTGCAAATCAGGCAGTCCCTGTTACTAAGCTGGAATTGATTGTGCTCCAGAAAATTTGGTAAAATATGCTGGTGTCACATTACAATAAAAGCAGCAATCCAGCTCTCACTACAGGAAGATTAAGGATTTTGTTCTGGTCCTGCCTAATCCATTCATGAATTGCAGGGCACAGTCCTTGCCACACTTGCCTGCCAAAAAAGGCAGCTCCATCTCCTTGTGCTGAAAAAAGTAGTAGGCTTAGTGGTTATAAAGTTCATGTTTTAAAGTGCACTGTCATTTTAGAGAGACTTTCCCTAATAAAAAAAGTAAATAAAACCTGATATCAACACCCTACAAAAATAACAGCTGCAATACTCCTTCTAAAATTGCAACTTAAAATCAAGCTGGCAGGATTCAAATCTTTTTCAAAAAAAAGATATGAACCCAAAATAAAAAAACATTTCTGCAGAGAATTCCCAAGCAAAACCTCATGTAGTGTCCTACAAGTCCCCCTTCTAACAACATCTCACAGAAAATCCACTCAGTTTCTTCCAGCTGACAACCTCAAGAAAACAGAGGTCTAAATAAATCAGTCCTTCCCACTAGTCACCTACATAAGTGCAGGTGTGGGTGCTGGTGCAGTTTTTCCATCAACTCCTCTTCTGTAGGTTCTTCCAAAACATCTCTACAAAGAAAAAGCATGAGTTGTTAGGTGCAGCCAAAGAGAGCTTCCCAGCATTTGTTTTTGCATTGCTCATACAGAGATGTAACGTGTGCTTGTTTCAGGAATGAAACAAGGAATTAAAATTACAATAAGCTGATGCTCCCTAAAGATGCATCTAGTTGCAAGTGATCCATCCTCTACAGATGTGTCATGGAAACCAGCAGCTGTTTTCCCATAAGAAACAGGGAAGCAATTTCCTGTACACAGTAAAATACAACTGAAGGTCAGTAGATTTGTTTTCCTGAAAAAAACTCCCAAATGAGAACATGCTCCCAATGCTACTATTGAGTATCCAACATGCACCACAAGTTCCACTAATGCACAATCATCAAGTATTAACTCGCCACCCACAATTTCATAATAAGCCAAGAACATGCATCACTTCCCTCATCTTCCCTTTTCTTCTTTCCCTTGTTTATTCCACCTCTGCAGTTGTTCCCCTCACCCCCAGCACCTCCTCTCCCATCCTACCATGAGCACAAAGCATATAAAGGTTAGGCTACCATGTCAGCTTAAAGCAGGCCTAACTAAAGCACTTGCTGGATTTCTCCAAACTAACAGATGAAACAGTTTGCTTCAGAGGGAGGAAACAGAAGACATCTTGCAGCCAGCACACATTCTTTAAAACAGATAAAGAAAAAAAAAACGACATTGATTATCAAGTCCCACCCAACTCACCTGAACATGAGTTCAACTGTCCTCTGGTATTCAATATCTGAAAGAGACTCTCGCTGGCAGCGACGGTCCCACTTGTGAATAAAGTTCTGAAATGTACAAGGAACAGCAAAAGATATAAAGAATTCTTCTGATGGCACCAGAAAACGGGTTATATCTGGTCACTATGTGTGCAGATAAGGTTTAGGAGGCGGTGAGGTTTGATTTTACATGGAGAACACTGATTTATTTAGGCATCAGCTTATTTACTTGCTGCAGGTCACTACTTTACACCTTTGTTCAGCAATGAAGTAAGTTTCTCATCACAAACTGAAAGAAGAGCAGAGCAGAAGACAGCCCTGCTACCTTCAGCTCCTAGCAAGGACTGCCTCCCCAAGACAAGATTGTGTGAACTACCCACAAGATTTCACCTGATTTTAATTTCTTCATCTTTAAAAACCCAACAACATATAAACATACTGCTTGTCCAGTTTTTGCCATGTTCCCTTACACATTTTGAATAACTCTGGCAGATGAATACCTAGGGACTATACACACAGCTCAGGAAAAGAAATAAAAAAAGGAGAAAAATCGTGACACCCTGCTCTCCTGCTATGGAATGTTGCATTTAGCCACAGCCCTGCAGAAACAAGCAGGTAGAAGATGTCCTAGACCAAAAGTTTTCCCTTCTTCCTACCATAGTAAATTTTAATACTCAGTACACTCAGCAATGTCAAGAACATGTCCAAAATAAACTTTCATAGGGTTTGAGATGGGTGAAGTGCCCTCTACAGGCTCTCAGTACACTCCTTCTATAGGAGAAGTCTACAATGGTGCACCTGGAGGAGATGATTATGATTAGCATTCTCTTCTCCATCAGAAATTTGGATTTGCAGAAAAGTATGCCATGAGTAACTAGCAGAACCACACGTTCTTCATGGCATTGCTCAGGCAACTGCACTCCCACAGTTTCTCTGAAAAACTCTAGAATATGATCTCTTGAAAATAAGTAATAGTTCCATGTGGGAACTCAAAATGTCTCTCAGACATTTTTAGAGGTTCCAGGCCTTGGTCAGAAGCATTTTGGACCCTGGCAGACAACTGAAAAACAGCTGTGATTTTTAGTTTGAGCCATGGAATGAGTTACCAACTTTGGAGTTGGAACAAGCAGTCACAAAAGGTTAGATAGTATAGTAAAAGTAATTACAAAGTAGAGGGGAAATTTTTTAGTATTGTACAGGGGGGGTTTAACACTTGTACAGGGGGGGTTTTACTTTGTACATGGGGGTCAGAAGTTCTAAGATGGAAGAAAGTGGGTTGATCCTGCTCTTCCTCCTTCTTCTTCCTTACCTCCATGTTCTTGGTGATGTTGGCACTCACAGATTGGTTTAGAGTAGAAAAACACTTGGCAACGTAGGTAGTAGGTATTGGGGAATAATTGTAAACATGTTATACGTAATATATCTTATAAAAGAGAGCAGCAGGCCTGGGTGGGGGGAGAGACGAAGAAGACAGCAGATAGAGAGGATGTCAGGGTGTGTGTGTGCCTCTACCCAGGCCACTGATCAAACAGCTGCAGTCCAAGAACATAATCTGTTAGATAACTAGCAATAAACTGTCTTGAGACCGAACAGCTAAAGCCTGCGGAGTTTTTCTTTGGAAGCACGGGTTGGAGGAGGAATTTCATCACCATATGAGACCCCAGAGCAAGGCTGGGGTTCTCACAGTTCCACTTCTCTAGAGTAGCATTGAACAATGGTGGTAATTCAAACTGGGGTGGGAAGAAACATAAGAGAACCAAATAAAATAAAAATTTTAAATTTAAATTGCTCATTTCAGTTGCTGACAAACTAATATGCAAAAAAGCCTGCAGCTTGAATAACTAATGCTGAATTTAAATGGTAATGTATAAGAGATGAGCAAATTTATAATACTTTAAGTATATCTCATTTTTATAATAAGGAGAGTATTACAATGAAATTGTACATACCCAATGAGATACAACCAGGTTTGTGACAAAATTGCAAATAAAACATACAATTCTCCAGGAAAAAAAAACAATTCCTCAGCTCCTTGGGCATAGGGCAGCAAGAAAGATAAAGTAAGCACACACACAGACCCAACAAAGTTTTTTGGGTTCTTTTCATTTCCTGCACAAATTAGAACCCATTTTCAGGATCTCACATCAAATAAACATACTTCCTTACCTCCAGAAGTAAAGCTACGAAGAGATTAACCCAGATGACAGAGGAGATCAACCACCAGGCTACAAAATAGATCTTTGACCACCTGCATATCAGATGAACAGACAATACATAAAGGAGGCAGTAAGTAACTTCAGCCTGAGCAGAGCACCATGAAATCACATTTTTTTTCCTTGCAATATAATACTACTACTTCCTTAATGGAAAAGGGGGCCTGAATCAAAAAATTAAAAATAAAAAATGTTTGCTTTTCATTAAGTTAGCAAAACAGACTCACTCTCCTGGGTTAACCAGCCAAGGGTCACTGGAACAGCTCAACCCAGGCGCTATCCAGTTCATTCAAACATTCCCCATGAAGTCAGTAAATACAAATGAAAGATATGTCCAGAGTTTTAAATCAATAAAAAATTCTTCATCCACACAGAAAACACAGAAGCATTAAATTTATTTCCTATATATCAAAATTGGTCCAAAAGAAAGGTAAGCAGCACCCTTCTGAGCAGATGGTAGGAATTGTGCTATGTGTATACTTCTTGTTCAAGTACACTATAAGCTGGATTTATATGGGACTTCATCAGTATTACTACAAATATTAAAGTACTTACGGACTTGAGTATCTTGAAAATGCATCCAAAAAGACTTGCCAGTTGTTCACCACCATCACATCCCAGAGGGTCACCACTGCTGCCTAAATAACAGAAGTAGAACAGCGTTTAAGTGGCTGTACCACAGATCCAAGCCTCAGAAAATGAGGAGGAAAGACAAGCAGAGAGGGGAAGAAGGAGGGATTTAATCCATGATCAGACTCACAGCAAAGTCATCGAAGTTGTTGGGCCAATATTCCAGTTGTTCATAGGTCCCACACTTCAGAGTGCCATTGCCATGTGTGCTGTTGGCAGCACTGCAAGATATTACAGGCTGATGTGAGCACAGCTCCCTGTGAACTCTGCTTTAGAATTCCTCTGAGCCCCTTGTAGGAAGTTAGATTATCTCACATGGGCAGAAAACAAGGGAAATAGTTCAAAAACATATTTCAGATAAAGCAGGGTAAAACTCCAAGCTAAGATAAACATTCCTGCAATTTCAATGCAGCAAGAAGAAACAGAAAGAGTAATAGATAACGAAGCTGTATGATTTAACATTAAAAGTAGGGTGGCTCCAAGAATGAAAGAGGAAAAAATCCAACAAAACTAACCAAAACAGCTCAAAGGTACAAAGGTGCAAATGCTTTTGAAAAACAGATTCTTTCTGAGCAGGGATAGTTAGAATCTTACCTGGTATTTCCCAAGGAAACAACAGCACCTTTAAATAGTATTATTCCAGTTATAGCAAATGCATAGAAAACCACCTGGAAGGAACACAACCAACTATGAGCTTTGAATATTTCTGCCACAAAATAAGAAATCAAAACACAATTAACACAGAATTTATATTAGTACCACAGTTGGGGTAATTGTATCAAGAACAGTGCCTGAAGCTTTTAAAGAGAAAATACTTCTCAACTGCTTGCTCTTTTTAATATTCTACCTAATTTTTCAGTTATTAAAATGCATTAAATAATTTTATCATCTATTTTACTTCTCTGTGTCTCAGAATGCTGATACTTAACCATAAATATAGCAGAACAGCAACTTAAAATCAAAGCTCAGTACCAGCATTTACAAAGCACAACCCAAATATCTGAGTTTTCTGCCAGAGTCATTGAAAATAAACTTTTAGTATGCTTACCTTACTAAAGACAAAACTATGTCATTATTTTATATTCCATCAGCAACTTCCTTTAAAATGCTAATTAGTCTAAAAATAAAGTTTTAAATAACACAAAGGATTTGGGAACTTCTGTCTTCTAATTCTTAGAAATACAAACTTCTTTTTAAAGAGACACTTTTCAGTCTTTAGCCATTGCCTAGGCAATACTGCAATTTTATCCTAAAAAGATTGTTCTAGAAATAACCCACAGTTTTGCTTTGCTTCTCTGAGAAGGAGCCATTTATCCCAGGAAAGCTTGAAGCAAGCTGAGTCTTCAAACAAAAAGTCTGGTGTGGGGGTTTTTTTTGTTTGTTTTTGTTTGTTTTGGGTTTTTTTTTGTTTTGTTTTGTTTTTTTGTTTGTTTGTTTGTTGGTTTTGGCTTTTTTTGTATTTTGCTACAAAACAAACCCAAGAATGGGAAGTCTGGAAGGAACAGAAGAGAGATGCCCTGGCCTACAAACTCTGAACACCACTGGAGTAAGCTGAAGCTGACATTTCACAGCCTGCCAGAAGATGGGGTATCAGGCTTGGCAATAAAATTAATTTTATTCTTTGAAAAAAGATGTATTTAAAACACTCACTGCCTGAGAAATTGACTAATCTGTTACATTATTTTATCTGCATATGTGTTCCAGGCTAACATTAGGAAAGATATTTTGCATTAGCTGGCAATGGAGTCAGATTTCACTACAGCAGAAGCCCAGTGAGAGCTTCCATGTAATCTCAAGTAAAAGCAAATTGAATTAATGGAAGAGGCAAACACTGTGGCAGACTTGTCTCAGAAGTGTGAGTTGTACAGCACAACAAGGTTTTTACCACCTCATATTTGCCCCAACCAATATCTTTATTTCAAAGTGCAACACAAGCCCATTTAAGGCCTATCCTTTACAGATAAAAGCAGAGATTTTTAATGACAGAAATAAATATTCTGGGTAAATTGTACACCAGGTATATAGACTAGAACAACAAATCATTGATCTTTAACCATTCAAATTAAGGTACCCTACAAAAACCCAGGAACAACAGCAAAACCAAACCTACCCAGGCACTTCTTTGCCCTACCAGGAAGACTTGGTTGCAAAGCCAGGAACTCAAGAGTTGGGAGAATTTATGTAATGGACATCACACATTGTGATCCACCCTTAAATCACATTTGTTGAGTCTATGTTTTACACAGACACACCTAAAACAGGATGGCAGAGGTTCTTAAAAAATCATGTCCACACACACCACCTCAAGACCTTCTCAGCCAAAATTTTAAAGTTTTTTGTTATTTAATTTAACATATGCAAACCAGGGTAAGGAAAACTGGTCTACTTTTAGCATGGATTAATTTTTAATTTGAATCCATACTACCCAAGTTAAGGCAGACACTCAAAGGAAGCTTTAATTAATCTTTTAAAGATACTCCTCCTGAAGGAGGCACTGCCACTCCTGTGCTGGCCATCACAAACCAGCAGTTTATTGCAGCTTTCCAAGACATGCCCTGGAGAGAACTGGCTGGTTAAGGTGAAATGTTACTGCTTGTGGTGATTGTACAAGAACCTTGTTAACTTTGTTGGTGACATACCCTTACTAAACTATAACAAAGGAAATTACAATCTTGCATCATGACTTACCACAAGGATTCCTGCAAAGGCTCTTAAGTTTTTCACCAGATCCAGCAGTGTAGTAACAACCAGAGACATGAACTAAAACAGAGCAGAATTTTGTACCTATGAAATTCATCACACTTCCAATCCATATCAACTTTTTACTAAAAGGACAAAAAATCACATCAAGAGAACGTGAGCTGGTTTTCTCTGGTGAGGGAGCACGCAAGAGTAAGTGATTTTGTGAGGGGCTGTGCAAAAGTCAAGACAGTTAGAGCTGAGCTATTCCACTCACGTGCAAGAGAATTGCAACCTACTGTCACTGTAAGACACAAGAAAACATCATGCATGTGTTACAGAATTTCTGAGAGAGAGAGGGCGTGAAAATAAAAAGGAGACCCAAACATTTATATTTTTCCAAAGGTGACAGTGGTTTGGAGGGTGAAAGTGCCACCTCTCCAACGACACTGGAAAAACTACCAGTCCATCAAATTTCTCCTCCTCTATGAAGGAATGCAAAACAATAAGTTATTTACAGAAAGTTGTGTGAGAAAGTTTTCTACAAGAATATAAACTCAGAAGGCTTAGAAAATCTTAAAAAATCAGAGCGACAACCTACCCTGAAAGGCTCTAACAAAATTTATAGCTTGACCAAGAAAGAAGTGCAAGTTGTGGAGGGAAGAGCAATCACCTTCATGTTGGGGATAATCCGCAGGAACCTGAAGACAATTAACATGTTCACCAGCCGCACCATATCCCACAGGGACAACAAGCCCATGAACTCGGGCCTCCTAGAAAAGGCAGAAAAAGTAACAAATCAGAAGAATGGCCAATGACAGAACAACACAGTTAAATCTACTGGCTACAGGTAGATACATTGATTTACTTAGCAGGAATCTCAGCTACAGTAAACTAATAACTGATGAAGGAAGGAATCCCTTTAGCTTGGCCTCTTAAATATGTACAGAGAGCTCTTTGAAGTGCACATTTGTGCCTTCTGCTGGGGAGAAGGCACCAAAGAGGGTCCTTTCAGAAAACAGAGTGAATCAAAAGGACTTCTAGAGGGAGGTGTCGGAACCCCAGCCTGGTTCAGGGGCTCCGTGTGGTGGTAAAGTCTCTCCTCCAACCCGTGCTTCCAAAGAAAACTCAGCAGCCTTTTGTTGTTCAGTCTCAAGGCAGTTTATTGTAAGCTATTTAAAAGATTGTCTTCTCTGGCTACTGTGGTTTGCTCAGCAGCTCAGGCAGAGGCACACACACGCCTGACACCCTCTCTGTCTGCTGTCTGCTTCTTCTCTCTCCCCACCCTTGGCTGCTGCTCTCTTTTACGTGATACATTACATGTTACATGTTTACAGTTTTCCCCCAATACCTACTATCTATATTAAATGGTGCTTTTCTATTCTACACCAATCCATAAGTGCCAACATCACCAAGAACATGGAGGCAAGAAAGAAAGAGGAGGAACAGGGCCGGCCTACATTCCTCCATCTTAAAACTTCTGACCCCCATGTACAAAGTTAAAACCCCCCTATACAGGTGTTAAAACCCCCTTGTACTAAAAAATTCTTCCCTCTACTTTGTAACTACTTCTACTATAATATCTAAACTTTTGTGACTTCTTGTTCGACCTGCAAAGTTGGTAACTCATTCCATGGCTCAAACTCAAAATCACAGCTGTTTCCAGCTGCCTGCCAGGGTCTCAAATGCTTCTGACCGGGGCCTGGAACCTCTAAAAATGTGTGAGGGACATTTTGAGTTCCAACAGGGAGATACTTCAGGAACTTGCACAAAGATGAGCATTAATCCTTCAGGACATGCCTGGCTGAAGAAGGGGTTTGAAAACAGCACAAGGTTAAAGGACTGTCTTGTCAACCTTCTTCCTTATGTGTTAACATTTCACAGGACATGGGCATACACTTCAAAACCCAGCCCTGAATTCTGGCTTTTACATGAGCATGCTGAATGCTTCTTGGCTGGAAAGGAGGGCAGGTGGTGGGGAGCTAAAGCTGTCAATGACTTGGTAACACTGATGCTAAATTGTGATTTTTACCTCCAATATATTCATCCCCAGTCATGAAAGAAATTATCTAAGATAACACTGCATAGAAGGCACAGTCTAGGTAACAGCAACATCATTGTCCTGCTTGGTCTGTGGATGTGACAGCAGCACACATCAGGACTCAAGAGTGACTCATCTGGGTTGTAACCTGCTTGCAGTGACTGACACAAAGACCTAACAAGAATTACTGGTGCTCCAAGATGATAGAGCAAGCAATTGCCTACATTTAAGAATCAAAGGGCAGAATCAAACACAAACATAATGATAACATAACATAATTAGTCTGTAGCAATTACTCTTCTGGCAACTATCACTTCTAGGTGATAGGAATACAAGTAGTATTCAAATATAAACCCTTCTAAAACCATAAGGTCTGACTTGTTTAACTCTCTTCAGAGTTTCTAGTGTAAATTAAGAGAACTTCTTGATGGCAACATAACAAATATCCTGAAAAAACAGGGAGTGCCAGTGTCTTAAGTGTCAGCTTGCATGAATACACAAAGTAACAGAATGTGTTATGAATCACTTGTGAAGATTCAGGAAATCTTCCAGAATTCCTTTGCTTTCCTCTCTTCTTGTGGAGACACTTTTTAAATCTTAAGCAATGATTTTTATGTTTTTTACAACAAAAAAGAAATCAGGATAGTTATCCAAAAGCTGTTTGAACTTAAGAAAATAAAAAAAAAAAAAACAAAACCCAACTGCTTGCTATTACAATACCAACAAATAGTGTTAAGTCCATGGGAATTTTCTTACTACATTTTACAGCATGAGAAAAACCTCAGCCTTTAATCTACATACAGGGTTGAAGAGGTTTCATCAGCTGTTTGGGAGTTCATATAACTGGATTTATGGACAATCTGATACTGAAATCTGATATCAGGTTGTTTATGCGGTACCAAATTCCCACTCCTACATCCCTGGTAAGCACACACCTGCCAAGATATTACTTTATATTAGATTACAATTTAAACAAATGCATCCTTCTCGGAAGAGCTACACAGAACTCTGAAACACTAGGAACAAAATAAAATTCTTTCACTTACCCATGTTGCATGGTCTCTTATGACTACAGGGGTGCAAAATTCTACCAAATTTGGTAAAGACTGGGCTGACAATCACAGCATCATGACATGTATATGACAATGTGTGTGTTCCCCTGACCCACCCCAGCCACTGAGCAAAGGGCAGCAGGTCACAGAGGTTACTCACCAGCCAGGATGAGGAAATCCATACACAGCAAAAGTTGCAATCTCCAGAATCTTCAGTTAGGAAAGAAAAAACAAAACAAAAAAAGTCAAAACTTTACTCTATAAATCTGCGTACCAGAAATTATTTAAGCTTCTTGACAAGAAACATTTTCAAGGGCTTTAAGCCACTAATACAATTCACTTTAAAGCTCTGAATTATCATATTTGCCTAGTCATTCTCCAAACCGACCAAATGTACATAGAGCATCTAATACTGACTCATAAAAGGATATACAGTGAATACCATTAACCATGAATTTGTCCTAATCTGCCACAGGGGTATCAGGGTTTGACCAAATAATAATAGTCTGACTTTTTTTTTTTAATATAAAGAAAAAAAATTGTTTTAAACTATGAAACAGAATACCTCATGCAATTATTCCAGAAGCTGAATATTTTCCAAATAAAATTTAAGAGGTTTCTTATCAGAAAAGCACCTTTTCCATGGATTTAAATAAGCCTATCTTCAGAACACAGACCCTAAGAGAATCATGTGCTACCATAAAAACTTTCCAGCCACAGAAACCCACAACACTGGCTTATGTTGTTCAGCTCAGCAGATCAGTGTGGAAAAAAAGCAATCCCACCAGCTCCTGTAGTCCCCTAACCTCCCTAGCCAATAAATCCAAGAATGTGTAAGCTAACAAAGCACTTACCAGTAAAATTACAGTCAGAAGTCCATCAAATCTATTGCTTGGGTAAGACAAGTATCTTTTCAAGCCCATTGCTAAGATTTTCAGCAACATTTCCAGCAGATAGTACAGGATGAAGAAGCAGTTGATAGCCTTCACCCCCCCAAAAGAAAAACAACCATTAGAATTCCTGACATCTCAAGGAACAGCAATAACTGCATGGAATATTGTTCTATCTTACCCCCAGGAAGAAGTCATCTCTTTCAGATGGCTGCTTATCTGCATCTATCACCAAAACCACCTTAAAAAAAAATTATTTTATCAATGTTTAATGTAGCTTTACTGCTACATTAAACAGATTTTTAAGCATAAGAATAATCTTTTATGTTTTGTACAGAGCTTTTCAAGCAGCTCAAAACACCTTTTTAACTGCATTTCGCATGACTAAAGCATGCCAAAAAGCCAACTGCTAGAAAAAGCAGTTATTTAAAGAAAATTAAAGAACAAAAGCAGAAATTAAATTCAGAAGAGAAAACCACAAAACAATGACAAAAAGAAAAAGAAAGAAAACCACTGCCCCACAACAAAAAATCCTTTACTTACACAAATAGAAATAATGTTTGCCAGGGCTATCACATTCCCCAAGTAGCCAAAGTAGGGATGTCCAAAGGCAAACTGCATTTTCTGCATAAAATGGGATTGGTACTCTGGACTGGGAGGGTGCTGAAAAGAACACAAAGGATTTGCTTAGTTACAAAGCATAAGCTTTTTTAAAATAATACAATAAATTTTAAAACACACCCCATCTCAAATTTAAAAAACCCCAGACAGTTTCAAAGCAAATCTTCAGGGCCACAGGCTAATTTTGACATGTCATCAGGAAAACGTTTTCCACCTGTGGCTATTAACAGCAAGAGGCCATTTCCATGGCACAACACAAGGGAATGGCAAAGAAGGAAGATAATCCAACCTCTCTCTAATGCCCCAAGCAGATAACTAAACACCAAGCTACTATTTGTATACATCCCTTCCCCATTTCCCAACATTTAATTCACAAGTCTTAGATACATGCAAACATAAAAGAGAACATTTCCTAACCCTCAAATAATTTAGTATTTTGGTTTTTTTCTTTCTTCAAGTGGAGAAAACTGCTTTTTGCCTATTTTCATCTGAACACTGAGAGAATCCACATTTTGTTCTTCATTCAGGGATTGGAGGAAAAAGACTTTGAGCTATTTTGCCTGAATACCTCACTTTCAAATGCTGATAGAATAAACAAAGATGTATTTTGTACATTTAACACCACCTGGCAATCCAAAACTAATGCTGTAGAACTCCCAGAGCAATTTTGTCTGTGGCTATAAAAGTTGCTTACAAAAAGCTTAAAATTCAATGCCATGTGATCACACCTTGTGCTCACATGTTGCAAAGTTTGTTTATACACGTTATATTAGAGTACTCTCACTTATTTTTGCACAAGGCCAGAAAACTTCTGATGCTTTATAAATGATGATCACATACATACTTGCTTAATGGCATCTTTGTCTAGTTCTTCAAAGAGCTTCTGGAACTGGGCAGCTGACAGCTGGTCACAGGAGCACATTTTGAGTGACTTCACATGAAAGAGAAACATTCAGATCAACATCTGCAATAGGAATATCTGCAAAGTTTGCCAAAACCCCTCAGACTACCTTGGAAATCTAGGAATAAAGATGTAATTCAAGCTGTTGGGAGTAAGGTTCAATATTGCTCTGCTTTAACATGACACTGCCAAGTGACTGAGGACATGTCTGGCCTCTTCTATTTTCCCTCTCTGGGATCACATGCTCTTTTGACTAACTTAAATTTTAGTCCCATGTAGTACTGCCACTATTCTGTTATGATCCAAGGAATGCTGCAACAGAGAGCAGATCTCTGGATTTGCTAGTCAGGATTGACAGTCATCAACATAAAGGCTAAGAAAATTCAGTTCTTACTCTCGTGATGGCTTGCTTGCAGCGAGAATCCATCTCAGCTTTCTGCAGCACCTGCAGTAAGGCCCCAACACTGACACAGGACCTATTTAAATGAAAACAGAATGGGCCCTGCTACAGACAACTTCACAGATGGCAAATTGCACTGTTCCAAATGTGTTCCTGACTCTTTCTTGTTTTGAAAAGCAAAGGAAACTAGAAGCAGGAAAAAAGGAAACAGACCCCATAAGCGTCACAAACAGTGTGTTAAGAACATCCAGTTACAGAAAAAAAAAAAAATAAATGAGATGAACAACAAACTGCCATTTTTGAGAATGGAACATCAGTAAATATATTAAAACAAAACAAGATGACCAAAATCTATTTTTTTTTTTTTTACTAGATAATCTACTGTTTCAAGATCCTTCACTTACTGTTGTCCACTAGCAGGAGTCTCTTTCAGGGAAGACAGCACCTCAAACGCAGCCCGGATTCCCAGCCGCCTCCTGAGGAGGGAGGACTGAACTGATTTCTGAGCAGTAAAAACACCACAGAGGAAACAATTTACTCACACTTCAGGCACTACTGTGTCCTATGGCTAAATATTATACTGATCCTTGGGCATACATCCCAGATTTGTGATTAGAGATCAGAACAGGAGACTGCCCTAGGCTTCACTCTTTCCAAGAACACTGTGTACAAGGAGGAAGGAAGCAAGTAAGCAAACAAGTCCCTGGGATTCAAGTAAACATGCAGGTTATGGTTTATTTTCAATTCTGGAGTGCACAGGCATATGCTTCTTCCAGAGACACTGCAACAGCAAAGCTTAAGCACTCACAGAAATTCATACTAGCATGCAGAGAGAAGAGTTAGAGAACTTGTCCTACTCCAGCTTCTTGCCTAAAATCACAAATCCAGAGCTATGCTTATTCATGGGGTTTTTATTTACAGTTATCACTTTCAAACTCAGTTACTTTATTAGTAGCCAGATTATGTCATCCTGTCATGTAAGAAAGAAGAAAATTGAGCAAGAAGGGATGAAACAGAGGAGGAGGAAAGGATTACCAAAAATCCTTTCTGCACCCATTCTGTTTATGCACTCCTCTGCCTCAAGAAGGTGGGGGCCATTCATTCTGAGTAATATTGCTTTGGGCTTATTATTCCAACAAACTTCACCTTCTCTCTGGAACTCTACTAGAAAAGCTACTGGGCCAGTCTGGGTAAGGTCCCTTCCCATCCCTTAATATTCTATGATCTACAACAGCAGCTATATAAACAGCACAGCAGATTTCCTTCAGACAGTTTAAGTTACTCAGCCACTTGTCCTTGTCCAGTCACACAACAGTTCCTTTTTTTTCTCCTACAATAGTCAAAACTGCAGATCCACAGCATTCTTGGAAATATGCAAGAAGATAATTTTGTGACCAGAGGGGATCAAGCTGTAACAGCACATAAAGGGAGAAGTATCTGCATCAAAGAACATTTAGTACCTTAAAACTGTATCTGCAATCAGAGTGGGAAGGCTCCTTTAATACACAGATGAAACTTAATTATTCAAAGGTTCAAGGTTATGGCAGAACACAGAAATTAGGATTGCTTTACTCACCAGAAGATACCCTCGAAACTGGTTGTATATTATTGCTGTAAGCAAATTCATCAAAAACAAGTTGCCTATTGGAGAAAAAGAGGCAGTAAAATTTACTGAAAAATATCTGTTTATCAAGGAAGTTCCAACGTATGCAGTAAATCAAATGTAAAACTTAAAGAGGGTTAGTTTTCTTGTGTTTGATTTCCAAAATGTTTTTAATGTTTTAGTATACTGTAAAGTATCCACTGCCCTGTGACATGCTACCAAGAAATTCCAAACCATAAGTACTTTCCATGAAAATGATCTCACAGACATTTTGCAATAACTGGAAGAAACACAAAAGTTAGGAATTAATGACTAAACTTTCATAGAAAAATAAAAGACTGTAGATGGTATACACAAGTGTCAAAGTTGAAGTGCACTGAAGACAAGAGGTAACTTACCCAATACAGTGAAGAGAATGAAGAAGATTGAATATGCTCGATTCTTAGAATATGCAGGCATCATCACTGTAACAAATTTTACAAAAATAGGAAATAGTATTTTAATGCTTGAGATGCACGGTAGAGACCTTTATGAACTTTTGGTAACTAGTAAAAGCTCTCATACAGCTGGATTTTAGAGTGGCATATATAATTATACCACAGAAAGGCAAGAATCAAGCTACTAAAGGCATGAAAAACCTTTACACAAACTTCCTCTGGCTGTACTAAGAACCAGCAGCTGAAAGAATGGTTACAGTAGTCTGAACAGAGCAATATTACTCTGTTGTTCTTCAAAAAGAGAGACAAGAGTTATTTCTGAAAGACTGCTCACCATCAGGATTATTAGCAGTGGTCAGCAGGACCAGCAGTGACGTCAGGGAATCCGGCAAATTCCGGAAATACACCACCCATTCCTTATCCTGCTGGTTATCCTGGGCAAAGATGTGTTCATTGTTAAGAGAAATACCAAGGAAGGGGGGAAAAATTCTAATTTTTTTTAACAATTAACATCAGTCAACAATTTCTTACACACAAGAAATCAAATCTTAATCAAATCTACCCCATGGAAAAAGCAAAAGCCAAATGTAAAAATTAAAATAATAGGTATGAATACAGAGCAATCACATCACTTATTAATAACAATTTAAAAACACAAGTAAGAACAGGAAGGTCTACATGAAGTTATGTCTTGTTAGCACCTCAGACGCCAGAACAATCATGCCACAATCAGACAATATGGAACTAAGAACCTTCATCAAAAACACACTGGGAGGCTGATCTTGGATCCTTGAATCCACCACATACTTTTTTCTTCTGGAGGTCAAGGAGAGACAGATAAAAAAAGATGCAGAGTGCAAACAACACAAACATGAGTCAGGCAGCACAGGACAAACAGCTCTTTAATCTGCTGCAAAGACTGGAATATGTAACCCTAGAGGACATACAAAATGTAATGCAAGGAGTCATTAATTTCATTAATAAAACCTACTTTTAGAACTTGCCTGCAGTATTTTGCCATGTTAGATAAAATTAGTTTGTATAGATGTCAGAGCAGCACACCAAAATAGGAAAGGTCACTCTTTAATTTGTTTTTTTTACCTCAATGTACACACAAGTGATTGGTTTAGGTATACAAATTATAAATATACATTTGCTGGGAAAGCTCATAGCTGAAATTAGATGTGACAATCAGAGATAATACAAGGGTCCAGAAGACAACTAACAGTGGGAAAACTGCTTTTTAACAGTGGGAAAAGACCTCTGCTTCTAATTCCAAAGGTTCTGTATCATGGGAATTCAGGGAATTTGCAGATCATGAGGAAGACTAGAAGCTGACTCAAGTGCAAATTACAGCAGAAATGAAGGTGCAAAACAGAGATTAAGGACGGCACCAAAATTACTGGGAGAAGCATGCAAGAAATTTTTGTGTTTTCAGTAACATATTTATGGAAGGCCTTACAAAGTAAGAATGAAAAAAAACCCACAAATAATCTGAGTGTGATAAATTAAGATACAGGAAGTTTAGAAGAGAAAGTATATATCAAGATTACCGGAACACAAAAATTATTTTAACCACAAAATTTCAATTTTACTTTTCAGAAGCAGGAAGAGAAAAATAAGAGGAAAACCCAAAGGGATCAGAAACCAAAACTAGTAGAGGCAAAAACCTACCAGGGTATGGCCTGGTAGGAATACCAGTATTGAAAGGTGAGAAAACACAGAAGAAACTAAAGTTAGCAAAAAGCTAGATAGAGAGGATAAAAAAATTAATTAGTGATAATATAAACTAAGAGTGATAAGAGCTTTGGAGACAGAACAGCACAGAGAGTTTCAACAAAAGCAGAGAAAGTAACTCAAGGGATCAAACTGGGTAAATGTATAAGGAAGTCTCCTGCATATGATACTATGCACATGTTAGAGCTCTCCAAATGGACTTCAAACTCAGCACGTCTGACAACGTGACCTTTTTCAGGGAAAACAAATTTCTCTAGTTTGACTATAAAACTAGACAAGAAGCAGCTGTGCAAGTACAGAAAAAAGGCACCCAGAGCTACGAGATAATTGATTACCTTTGTTCGAACAAAGAGCAGCATGGCAAACATGGTGAAGAGAGACAGATGAACAGCCAGTAGTAGAAGAACACTGTTGGAAAGGAAATATATCATAAGTATTAATAGTAACTTTGACTTATTCTTAATATACTGTGCTGAAAATGTAAAATTATGCCATATAAAGAAAACCAGGGATGTTTTTAAGAAGTTATATGGAGATTACAGGAGGAGATGGGGGTTTTGGTAGAAAATAAAAATCACACTTATGTGCCTCAGTTCTTCCCTTACAAAAGGGCTTAGAAAAGCAGAATCAAAACCTCCCACTCCACTAGCATTAAAAAACCACTGCTGGTCCTGCTGACTACTGCAAAGTGTGTCAAAGTCTAGAGATCCTGTACAGACCAAGGGGAATCAAAAAGTTACCACAATCTTCACCCTCTGTGACCTGATCTCACTGAGCACTTAGCTACCCAATCCAGAAGGAAGCTGCTCAGATGCCCCACACCAGAACCCAAAGGATAACAACCTGTCTGCTACTAGCCATCCTGTGAAAGGATGTTTTTTGTGCTATAACCCACCTCATCATTTCAGGCAATGTGCTGTTGATACTTTTTAACGTTTTCTTCATCATAGAAGAATTCTGGAGGAGAAAGAACGGGCGAAGGATTCTTCTTATTCTCACACTCTGCAAAAAACAACAGATCAGACACTGAGTTCCTGCAAGACTGGCAGCTCAAATACTCTGAATGCAAGTTTGTCAGAAAGCACTGGACACACACATCAACTAAGCCAACAGTGGAACAGAAAAAGAACGTAAGCTCTTCTCTTCTGAGCTCACAAAACACCAAAAAAGATTCCACACCTCATTAAAATGAGGAGAGATTGCTTTAAAAACACACATTGACGTTTCAATAGTCTCGTCAGGCCACTAATTGGAAACAATCTAACTTTACTGCCCAGCAGATGTAACAATCTGGCAAGAGATGGCATTTCAGTATATTCTGCCAAGCTCCATTTCAAGAAAGGGATTAATAGAGAGCTACTTTCCATAAAAACAAATGTATATTCTAAAAATAATGCTTAACTTCAATTTTCAGACTGCTTTATAACTAAAGGGCCTGCTAATTACTTAGCAATTTCTGTCTCTGACAAGACTCAAGCTGTAAGTGTTTTTTTTCCCCACACCACTGCAGTAAATAATCTTTTTGATTCTTGCAGTCAAGACATTTGCAAGGGAGAGTACAGTATTACATCAAGGAGGGCACTTCTTGAACCTTTTCCAAGCCTGATGCTCCTCTCAGGACAGAACTGTTTTGAACACAGCACACCTCACCTTCAGGTTAGAAAGCAGATGTTAAACTACCTGATTACCTTTTTCTTATACTTCACTACAGAGGCATTGCCATTCAGTCAAGTTAAGCACATAATTCTCCAATTGCATGACAAAATTGGTGCCAGGCAATGAATTTTCCCTGCTCTCTTCAACTGCTGACAAACTAAAGCCATGAGTGCTATTTAATTTTACCAACAAACACAAAATTTACATTAAGAATCAAACAGAATTCTTTGCTGAGCTACATTACACCAAACTTTTTCTGTGCTTCAGTGAATTATCCAGCTGTGAAAGACCAAAGTAAAGCTGTTCTTACCTCTTTGCAGAAAAAACTCAGTGACACAATCCAATCAGCAAGGGAAACAATTAATGTCAGTATATAAGCCATTAGCCATTTATTTTTCCAAAATTCTTTCCATCCAATTAAGTAACTCTGGATAAGGGGAAAAAGAAGAACAACCATAACTTACTTTAATAATAAAATCCAATAACCTAATAAGTCAGCACCAATTTTTTTCCAATTATCTGCAATTATACATTAGTGCTCTTAAAAAGCTCTCCAAAATCCAAACAAAAATACATTGTTGAGAGATTTTTTTTTCTACAACAACTAAATAAAGGTCAGCAAAAGTAAAAGAGAGAAATCCTTTGCATGCAAGAAAATTCTCCACTTAATAAACATAAAAAAGGAATTTCCAGAAATAAGTATCCAAAGAAATGTCAGTTTCTAACAACTTTTATTTTGTGTAAATGAACTGACACATATTTATTATATACCCTGATTTTATAGCCTAATACAAGCAGCTAAGCCAGAACACTTGCACTCTCAGTAAAATTTAATTCACTCACTTAGGAAAATTAGGTTAAAAAAAATGGAATACATGTCTTAAGTAAATATACACTTGCTAATTTCTTCTGAAATGAGACTCTAATAAAGCAAGGCAATTTTGTCCTGCAAACTCAAGATCTGAAAAACAATTCTATCACACACCTACTGCTTCATTCAGTACCAGATGAAGGAGATGCTCACCTTCACAGATACATCAACCATGAACACCAGGAAGCAGAGCAGCTCCACGCTCTCGGTGAGGCCACAGGGAGGATTCCAGCTGGGAAGGCGGTACCGCACATCCGACGTGACAGTGAGTGAGGAAGGCTCTTCAATGAAAGCCAAAGCCAAGATTACAGTAATGGTTAAGCTCAAAATCCTGTTTGGACAGAGATTAAATCAAAAATAAAACCAACAAAACCATTAAAAAAAGGTACAAAAAACCACTACCCCAAAACAAGCCCCATAAAATAGCCACAAAATGAGTCAAAATAATAACAAAGTCTTTACAACTAAGCAATTTTCTTTGAAGTAAACCAAGCTTTCTGAGACCATATTTCACTCAAATGGGTTAGACCACAAGGCAGCACTTGACTAGCATGTTGTTGCTTGCACTGGAGATGTAACTGCTGACCACCAAATAACCTGAGGTGTTGTCCTTTTGAAACTAACAGCACCAAACAATCTTGCTAGTATCCAACATGTTTAGAAACAGACACTTTGAAAACTCTTAAAGCACAGTGTTTTAAATCATGCTAATTAGTCCACTCATGCAACAGTCCTGTGGCTGTTTGCAAACAGCCATCTACATCATCATACTTCCATAAAACTTTCTGCTTTCCACTTCAATCAAGTTCACATGTGGCCACAAGAGCTTGCTTCTCAGAATAAGTTCTTATAAAGGTAAAAACACAATTACCTAATTATCTAGCAAGTAAGGAAGAGGAAGAGTAGTTTTTCAGGAAGACTAACTCCTAAACAAAAAAGCAAAGAGAATAAGCAAGTTCTTACCACTGGCAAGTCCTGGAATAGTACCATCGATAAAGCCACAGGGATTTGGAGTCCACACGGTGATTTATAGATCGGTACTGAAGGCAGGAAACAAAAAGGCTAATTCAAACATTACATTCAGTGTGTCTCAAAAACAAGTATCAAGTGACCAAAGCAAACCAGATTAGCACATGTTATTAACTATTAAAGTATCAGGTCACCCTGACCACAGAGGTACTCTATCATGTGTGAAAAAGGCAAGATTGTAAAGACATTCTGCTATCTAAAGACCACAGAGCTGCTCAGATAATTCAACTGTGTGCCAGTCACCTCAAGGAAGCACTGTCATAATTTCAAATAACAGCATTTATTCAGTGATTTTTCAGTGACTATTCTATGTACTCGCCAAAATGGTCCACCCACTTAATTCCTTTCTCCAACATTCATTCCACTCATGGATCTTCTTTTGTCTTTCTCTTCCAACAGGCCATAAGATGCAAACAAATTAATTCTGAATAGAAGAGACTGCAACCTATGTCTTTGAATAAAATATGCTTCCAGATCAGGAAGTGCCTGTGACTCTTAAGGAATCCCCAAAATATGTCCCTCTTCTGGGACAGCTCCTGGGCTGTTCTCAATCTGCCCCCACTGAGTAGATGTTTCCAGAAAGGTGGCTACACCTTAAGGACATCTGGCCCCAGAAATCACCCAACCAAAAGCCATCTAGATGCAGCAGGAGAACTCAAGAACTGCCCTTCAGCATTCCCACTGCCTGGGAGAAAACAGGATCTAGGAACCTGCAGTAATGGCCAGTAAAGGAGAGACAAAGAGGGAATCAAGACTTCCAAAGGCACCAAGTTCAGCTGAAGCCGAGTTCCAGCTTCATGCTTAAAGCCAGCCTTAAACTCTTGAGCTTTTACCAGCTCTTTAGATGTGCAAGTAGTCAGATTGAGAGGCAAATTACAGGGTTTGCTGAAATTGTTTATCTTAGCAGTAGGTTAGTCACTAGCAAAACATCCACAATCAAACCAACCCAAATAGGTAAATAAACAAAAAACCACCATGAAAATCACGCCACAAACCAGCATGTCTTCTCAAATCCTTAAAGAGATTACTTAATTGTGGGGAAAAATATATTTCTCCTAGGCAGAAATTCAATGAGACTTGCATACCACAGGAATTTGGAATTCTGATTTTGCTTTGTGAATTGAGATGGTGCTTACAAACGTTGCCTGAACATAGAAGAACTTAAAAACTGGCAGAGTGTGTCACAAACATCCAGCATGGGAACCATAACAGCTAATAAAAACGTTGTTACTTACTTGTATTGCATCTTCAATAAATACTATGGCTTGGTTTATATGAAGGTCATTATCAGCTCCAGCACCTATGAAGTAAAAAAGAAATAAAAATCTCTTGCTGTATTTTGGATAAACCCACTTATCAGTTAACAGAAGGTGCACAGTCATTGTTCTCACACAAAGGGCACTGTACACACACACAAAAAGAGAGAATTCCTGCCACATCTACTCTCAGCAGCACTGTGCATTACATTAAATAAGTAATAATATCAAACACATCATGCACCTTTCTGTGTTTGTTAAAAGGTTCTCTTTTAGGTTTAAGTAGCCAGATTACACTGGTAGTTAAGTACCAGTGTAGTAATTAATAAAGTATACAGAGACAAGTCCTAACAGGCAAAATAATTGAGATTCAAATTGTTCTTTGACAGAGTATACAGTCAAGTGAAGCCAGGAAAATCAGGCACTACTATTATAGCAATTTTTATTTTTGTTTAATAAAGATACTGCGGTCTAGAGTGATCTTGTTCCTCCAAAACCAACAGGAATCTCCAGTCATATGAAAACTAAATTAAGTGCTTTTTAAATTCGCTCTGAGAGTTACTATTACCATATCAAACAGATCAGAGCTCAAGACACAGCAAGGGTGAAAGAACACCATTTGAAATAAAATACCACTGAATTACTTACTATGACACTTTTCAAAACCCATAATTAAGAAGTCTATGTGAAGATAGACACATAAAAAATAAAAGGCAGCCACTTGTGTTTACTTGAAGTAAGACCTTTCAGGAACTAACCTGGCAAGTAAGCCAAGGAGAGAAATAAAGGTAGTTAAGGTCAAAACAAGGAAGGAAAAAAAAAGGAGATAAAAAGCTGATGGGGACTCTAGATATGAAAAAGATATGCTAGTGTAGCCTTCCCCCACAGGGGAAGAGTCCCAAGGAGCACTTCATACCATCTCAACCCAGGAGACAGCAATCACAGCCCGGGATACTACACAAAAGAGGCCATCCCAGCAGCAGCAAAATGCCCTCCTCCACACACCAAGCAACGCCAAAAACACCACTGATCAGAGTCACAGACAATTTTATGTTCCACATGATTCAGCAGCATCAATTTCCTACAAAGACTGCGAACAGTTTTTAAATGTCACTCTTTATCTGAGCATCAGCAACAACAATTTTGTACTGATCCTGCTATGAACCATGACACAAGAAAGATCTGACCACAAATAGGAGACAAGCCAGGCTCATGCAGTAAAGACTGTTTTTTTTTACATTTCACACTAGTGAGATAAAAACAAAAGTTGCTTAAAGGAACCACTAGCTAAAAGCCTTGCAAGAACAGCAAAAGCTTTAGGTACTTGAAGCACACAGCAAGTCACTAGTGTTGATGCCAAGGATTTTGGAAAAGCAGAACCTAAGTGGCTGTTCATAGTATAAAAATAAAACAGGGAAATTAGCCAAAAATGTTTACTATAGCAATTTCTCCATGCATTCTACCATGGATATCCAACTTATTCTGCAATTCTTAGTCACAGCAAGTGACAGTTAGTCACAAGCGATGATTAAAGCACTGCTCGCTTTGGGCACACAGAATCCATCCGAGACTCCGCTGCACTTCGGGAACTGCACGAAAGAACGAAAAGCGAAGGCTCCCTTAGGCGATGCAATATCCTGAAAAGAGAGAACCTGAGGTCTCCAAAGAATTCCATTCTGGGGGAATTGCGATGTCAGACCTACGACAGCCACCGGGTTCGAGAAAACCCTGTCAGCACTTTAGAGGAAAACCCTAAAATTACATAAGGAAACCTGGGGCTGCAGCAGCAGCGCAAGGCTCGCACCCGAGCGCAGCGCCAGCGGCTCCCCCGGGGCCGTGCCCGCCCCGCAGCAGCCCGGGAGCTTCCTGCCGCTCCCGGGAGCGCCCCAGCTCTGCGGGAAAGGGACGGCTCCTCCCGCCCCGGGCACTCACCGTCCCCGCCAGCCGAGCGGGCACCGCCGCGCTCCTGCCACAGCCCCCGGCCCGCCCGCCAGCGCCGCGGGGGCAGCAGCGGCTCCACCTCAGCGCCGGCCTCCATCCACAGCGCCGACCGCACCGCCACCGGGCTGCGACGGGGCAGGACGGGGCGGGAGGGAGCGGGGCCGGAGGGAGGGAGCGGGGCGGGGC